AATTTTACTTTTATATTTTTTAATGCTGCATCTAAATTTTATTGAGCAATCCTCATGATTAACGAATATTTGAGCAATTATATTTTGATACCTGTGAATTACAGATTGCCTTTGTTTTTATTCACTAGTGTTATTAAGGAATGTTATAGAAGGAAGATTTCCATTATAGTAGCACATGGTGGTTATCAGTTTCTTCCAAATGTCCAGACTACTTCCCAGTAGTAAGTAAAGCTTGAAGATAGTAAATTAGGATTGGAAATTCTCTCAAATTTATCCAGTTTATAAGATCTTATTTATCACTCCATCTCCAGGGACTAGCATGGTGCTTATTAAGTATTAATTAAAGGAAGGAAGGAGGGAACTCACTTCTTTCCCCAGGTGTCCCAGCATGGGATGGTGTGCCACTCCACTTGGGAATTATAATTAATCACTTGCCTTCACTAGACATTGTTCTATAAAAAAAAAAGAACATAAACAACTTTAAATGAAAAAAAAAGGAATCTAATGAACATTAAATCATTGCAATTTTATATCATTCCAAAATCACAACTAATTTCAATCACCATGTGTGTACAGTATTTTACATGGTTATATTTAATGTGTGTATACTATTTTGATTTCATATTTAAGTGACTTTATATACATATCTTCATATGAAAAACTAGTGGAAATATCATTACATTGGTGGTTCTGTTTTTCTCTTAGCCTTGTTTGAGTCAGGTCCTTGGTCTGGCCAATATCCAATGGCTGCTGCACTTGCTTTCCAAAAATACATGGGAGGGACACAGAAGCAGAAGTGTAGCATATACCTATAGAAGCTTCTGCTTCAATTCCTATTTGGTCTTTTCTGACTGAACTAGACCACCCTTAATCAAGCAGTGTTTCCATCTTTTCCATCTCCTGGACCACACTGTAGGCCTCCAATTCTTGGCTTCATGAGAGAGGCAAGAGTGAGCCACAGAGAAGAAGAGAGCCTTCACTAATTTCCAGGATGTCTTTAGCATAGTTTCATGGGAGGCTGTGGTGTCATTGTGGCATTTTTTCTTGGCTGAATAAAGAGAACATCCACCTGAGGTTAGGGGTATGATGTAGTGCTTGGTCTGAAGTTTTCCCTATCATTGTTTTATTGTGGGAAATTGAACAGTTGGGGAAAGCTTAAAAATGTTTTGGGAATAGGTAGTATTAGAAATTAGAAAGAGGAGTTCAGAAGGGATGGTGATAAACAACTGTATAAAAATAGTTTTGCCCGGCCGGTGTTGCTCAGTGGTTGAGTGTTGACCTATGAACTTGGAGGTAACAGTTCAATTCCCAGTCAGAGCACATGTCTGGGTTTCGAGCTTGATCCCTCATAGGGGGCATGCAGGAAGCAGCAGATCAATGATTCACTCTAATCATTGATGTTTCTATCTCTTCCTCCCTCTCCTTCCCTCTCCCTCCCCCTCTGAAATCAATAAAAATAAAAAATAGTTTCATTGTTGTATGTGTTATTTCCATTGGGGAAGTGGAATTGCTAGGCCAAAAGAAATGAGTACCATTATGGTCTATATCAGCAGTTCTCAACCTGTGGGTCGAGACCCCTTTGGGGGTCGAACGACCCTTTCACAGGGGTCGCCTAAGACCATCGGAGAACACATATATAATTACATATTGTTTTGGTGATTAATCACTATGCTTTAATTATTTTCAATTTGTAACAATGAAAATACATCCTGCATATCAGATATTTACATTACGATTCATAACAGTAGCAAAACTACAGTTATGAAGTAGCAATGAAAATAATTTTATGGTTGGGGGTCACCACAACATGAGGAACTGTATTAAAGGGTCGCGGCATTAGGAAGGTTGAGAACCACTGGTCTATATGATACTAATTTGTTTTCTATAAAAAGTAGACAGTTTCATAATATTGTCATCAACATGTAAGTATACTTAATTTGCCAAAATCCATTGAAACCACTGGCCCAGTAGTTTGAATTAATTTTGTTAGTATAATGTCTGTAACATTACTTAAATGTATTCAAGTAATTGTTTAAAAATTTTAACAGCTTTATTAAATATAATACGCGTATCATACAATTCACACATTTAAATGTACAATTCATGGTTTTTAGTCTATTCACAAAATTGTGGAACTATCATCACTTTAGAATATACTTAAATTTCTTTTGAGTTGCACTTCTTTACTTGTTAGAGAGAGGATACAAGTTTTTTTCCAGAATAAAAAACTGAAAGGAAGATAGAAATTAAGATAAATTTTATTTAACACTGTACTTAACATTACTTATTATATACCTTTCCTTAGGTCACTAGATAAATTAGTAAACTGGTTCAGTATTATTAGACAGAATTATGCTAATCAGTGTTTTCTTTTTTAGCGCTGTAAAATGAATGAAGACTCTGGGTCTGATTATTTAGCACCTTGGCAGTTGTCTCAAGTGGTTGACGGAGGAGGTATTGGGATTATAGAAGAAAGCAAACACACAAATTTTACTAAAGGCGAGTTTGTGACTTCTTTCTACTGGCCCTGGCAAACCAAGGCTATTCTGGATGGAAATAGCCTAGAAAAGGTGATGTATAATATAAAAGTATTTTTCTCCACTGTAATCCTTATTTTGTACCTTTGGTCTTCAGTTGTTTGATAAGGGGGTGGGGAGGTGGGGAGCATACATTTTCTTTTAGATATCTGCAAAAATGTGGAAAGCCTTTGTTCCTTTTCCACTATTGGCTGTAACTATATATGAAGTTCTTAGATTACCAGTGAGTGGTGGTGTTTTCCATATTTAATTTATTTCTCAAATTTTACAGATATAAAATAAAACCTGAACTAGAAGCATCAAAAAATATTTTATACTAAGAACCAAAGGCCCCTTGTAGTCGTATGCTTTAAAGTTTCCTGAGAAATTGACACTTAAGAAATTCCTTTGGTTTGGGCTTGAAATTCCATCTTGTGTCAGAAATCTTGAGTTTGGTTTCTGTTAGGTTGAACCATGTGAAATTACCAATATTTTTCTGTTTTGACCTGCAAAAACTGGCAGCTTCATGTACAGGTTGGGGCAAAAGTAGGTTTATAGTTATGAGTGTGGAAAACAGCACAATACTTAAAAAATAATAATACATGAATAAACTCTGTGTTTCACATACTTACAACTGTAAACCTACCTTTGTCACCCCTGTGTAGTCACATTAAGGGTTAAGTATTCAACATATGAATTTTAGGAGTGCCAATGTAAGAAATGTCCAAATCAGTAGAGAATTTTTAAAAAAATATATTTTTATTGATTTAGAGAGGAAGGGAGAAGGAGAAAAACATGAGAGAGAATCATTGATCAGCTGCACACCCCACACTGGGGATTGAGCCTGGGACCTGGGCATGTGCCCTGCCCAGGAATCGAACCGTGACCTCCTGGTTCATAGGTCGATGCTCAACCACTGAGCCACGTGGCCGGGACTAGAAAATTTTTATAAGAATTTATTTGAGCCTGGCTGGCGTGGCTCAGTGGTTGAGCATCGACCTATGAACCAGGAGGTCATGGTTCAATTCCCGGTCAGGGCACATGTCCAGGTTGCAGATGTACAGTGTGGGGTGTGCAGGAGGCAGCCGATTAAGGTTTCTCTCTCATCATTGATGGTTCTGTCTCTCTCTTCCTCTCCCTTCCTCTCCAAAATCAATAAAAATATATTTTAAAAAATGTATTTGAGCCAAACTGATGACAATTGCTGGGAAGCAAGATCTTAGATATTCTGGAGAATGAGTTTTACATGTTCTTTTATACATTTTGAAATTAAGAAAACATAAGGAAGATTACATGAAGGAGGGAGAAAGCAAGGCAGCAACTGGATTACAGGATAGTTAACAAGAATGGTAACCTAAGATAGGCTTGCTTAAGGCAAAAATAAACCTTTTACTAAAGAAGTTATATGCCTGGGGAGTGGCTACCCACCAAGACCTGCCCTGTTAGGAATTTATGATCAGATCACCCTGGGAGGTTACTTTCTGTAGAAACCCTTTTTTTGTCCACAGGAAGACATGATTCAGCCTATAACAGGTTGTTTCTACCTTGTTGACTTAAAACTGGGATTCCTGGTTTTCTTTTTAAAAGATATATATTTAGACAAAATAAATAAATACAAATAAAAGATATATATTTCATTTTAGGTAGACCCGCAACTCGTGAATGGACATATTTCATATTTTCTTGGAGCTATTGGTATGCCTGGTTTAACTTCCTTGATTGGAATACAGGAAAAAGGTCATATAACTCCTGGATCTAATCAGACAATGGTTGTTAGTGGGGCTGCTGGTGCTTGTGGATCCTTGGCTGGGCAGGTAATAATTTCTGAGAATCATTTGATTTTCTAAAAATGTAGTCATAATTGAATCTCTGGACACATATATATATATATATATACTAGAGGCCTGGTGCATGACATTCGTGCACTGGAATGGGGGAGGTCCCTCAGCCTAGCCTACACTCTTTCGCAGTTCTGGAGCCCATGGGGAGCGGGCCTAAGCCGTCAGTCTGACATCCTTAGCGCTGCTGCAGAGGTGGGAGAGGCTCCTGCCACCACCGCTGCACTCACCAGCCGTGAGCCTGGCTTCTGGCTGAGTTGCGCTACCCCTTTGGGAGTGCACTGACCACTAGGGAGCAGCTCCTGTGTTGAGCGTCTGCCCCCTGGTGGTCAGTGTGCATCATAGCGACCGGTCGTTCTGCCATTTGGTCAATTTGCATATTATCCTTTTATTATATAGGATCATTTAAAATATAAAATTGAACAAATTTTATGATTATTTGCACATTTCTGGTAGAAATGATATTACCTGCTTAGACTGTCTTTATAATAATATGAAAAATGTTGTAGATTTTTGTATCTTGTTCTCTGTTAACCAAAAATAGACACAGGAAATGCTAGAACGATCCAAGGAAGAAAATCAAAGTACCTATGTGGAATTCATGAACTAAAAATAAAAAACAAACTCGCCCTAGCCAGTTTTGCTCAGTGGTTAGAATTTCAGCCTGCAGACTGAAGGTTTGTGTGTTCTATTCTGGTTAAGGGCATATACCTCAGTTGCAGACTCAATCCCTGGCCAGTGCAGGAGGCAACCAATTGATGTGTCTCTCGTACATTGATGCTTCTGATGTTTCTCTCTGTCTCCATCTCTCCTTCTCCTTTCCTCTCTCTCTAAAATCAATGGAAAAAATATCCTCTGGTGAGGATTAACAAAAAAAACACATATTGTATAAAAAAAGTCTTCAAATACAGTAAATATTATGATAGAATTTTATAAAATGCACTAGAGGTCTGGTGCATGAAATTCATACATGGGCGGGGGGAGGGAGTCCCTCAGCCCAGCCTGCACCCTCTCCAATCCGGGATACCTCAGGGGATGTCCGACTGCCTCTCACAATCCAGGACTGCTGGCTCCCAACCGCTCGCCTGCCTGCCTGATCTCCCCTAACCCCTCTGCCTGCCTGGCTGATTGCCCCTAACCACCTCTGCCTGCCTGATTGCCCCTAACTGCCTCTGCCTCGCCCTGCACCCGGGACCCAGGATTCCCTTCTCTGGCCAGCCACAGGCACCCAGGACCTGGCCCGGATTCGCCTGGACCGGTCACAGCTACAGGGGACCCTGGGCAGGTGGCTTGTCCCTCTCCTGGGCTGCAGCCTGGCTGGTCCCATTCCTCTCTCACGAGCTCATTTGTGCCTGGCTGGTCCCCATTCCTCTGAAAAGTACAGTGTTGAGCGTCTGAGCCAACAGACGCATGATGCCGTGAGGGTGTGACAACCATTTGTATATTAGCTCTTTATGATATAAGATTGTTTTTATGAATAATAGCCTTTATAGTATGAAACCTCTGAAATAAAATATTTTATCTTAGTAGTGATTTTACTCACAGGCCTGAAAAATATTTTAAAACTTTAAAAAAATTTAATTTATTGGAGTGACATTGTTTAATAACATTATATAAATTTCAGGTGTACAACTTTATTATATGACATCTGTGTACTCTATTGTGCACTCACCACCTGGTCTAGTCTCCTTCTGTCACCATATACTTGACCCCCTTTACCCTCCTTGTCCTCCCCTTACCTTCTTTTCCTTCTAGTAACCACCATTCTGTTGTGTCTATGAATTTTCTGTTTGTTCATTTGTTGCTTTTTGCTTTATATCCCACATGAGTGGGATATATCCCACATGAGTGAAATCACATTCTTCACTTTTCTATCTGACTTATTTCACTTAACATAATACTATATGCACAAGATCCATCCCACTGAAAAATATTAAATTGCAAGTTAGTGATGTTTGGGATCTGACTATTCTTTTCATGAAATTAGCTTTAAATTCTGGAATTTTAGCATTCAAACTAAGTCTAATTTTATTCAATCTTAATGCTTTTAAGAATGGCATTATATCTGTTTTCTGTTCTTTTGATTTCAAATTACTTTTAGCTGAAAGCCCTGTAATCTAACCTAAATTGTGGTGAACACTCTCATATACTTATAATATCTTGTATGCTTTAACCTAAATTGTGAACACTCTCATATACTTATAATATCTTGTATGCTTTCACATTTTAAAATGTAAATATGACATAGAAAGTTGTTTAATAATTTAAAATTTCCCCCCTAGATTGGTCACTTGATGGGCTGTTCCCGAGTGGTGGGAATTTGTGGAACACATGAGAAGTGCCTCCTTTTGACCTCAGAACTGGGCTTTGATGCTGCAATTAATTATAAAAAAGAGAATGTAGCAGAACAGCTCCGGAAACTATGCCCAGCTGGTGTGGATGTTTACTTTGACAATGTTGGCGGTGACATAAGTAATACAGTGATAAGCCAGGTAGTTTGTTGATTTGTTTCTTACAAATTTGAATGCTATATTTTATCTGATGTGATGTATTTTTACCTGATACTAAGAGATAGAAAAAACTGTATAAGATTGTTGGGTTTATTGAGAAAAAGAAACTAATGATGATCAAGTGATCAACTGTAATTAAGTGAAACAGAAGAGCTTGCTGATATACCTACTTCCACTTACAGGTTTGCACTATGAACGTCAGTTTCAGTTCTTTGCTAGCATTATTATATTTTTCACCTGCAGTTAATTTTTGTGAAAAGTACAGTTGTATTGTTCAAATGGTGAAGTTCTGACTCCTAACTCACCATGAACCAACTCAGCCATGGCCCCTGACTTTGGGTAGGGAATGGATTTTCATTAGGTATTTACCTATTTTTATTGACAATGTTATAAAATGTGAACATCAGCTATTAACACTGCATTGTCCTTTACTATAGGTAAAATTATTTGCAATTGAGGTTAAATTATTTAAATACAAAGAAATACTCTGCTACTACTACTATTAAAAGTAGCAACAACAACGACAGCAACAATTAATGTAATTCTTTTGCTGATTACCAAATTCTCATTTACCTCTAATTCCTTGGAAGTGGACTTATTTTCTAGCCTATTAAAACTCTTAAATACATATACTGGGTAAATCTTTAAAATGAAATATATTAATTGGCACTAAAGGATTAAATTCAGTGGTCAAGGAGGCTTTCTTTGAGGCAGCCATAAAGTCATATATGGGATAGGCATATATCTTAGGGTATAATCACCTATTTTATCTGAACAGATGAATAAAAACAGTCACATCATCCAGTGTGGTCAAATTTCTCAGTACAACAAAGATGTGCCTTCTTCTCCTCCACTACCTCCTGATGTAGAGGCAATTCAGAAAGAAAGAAACATTGCAAGGTGTGTTCTATCTTTTCCTGTTTTTACCGGATTCAAGGGGTTTAAAGATCACAGGTGTATGTGAAATGCATTGTTCTCCATGTATAATTTTTTCTTATATAAATAAAACTTGAAAATAGATATTTTAAGTTGATTCAGTACTTAGGTTTTAGTTAATTAGCTCTTTGGCAGAAAACTTTTAAAAAATTGCATCTGTTCTATAAATCTTTTGCAAGTGTTTTTTTTGCAAGTAATAGAAACTCAATCACATTGGCTTAAGTACAGGGGAAATTTATTGGCTCATGCATTGAGAAGTCCAATATTAGTACAGTACTGGCTGAGCTCTGGCTGGATACAGGGTTTGTATAGTGGCATCACGACTGTTTTTCTCCACCTCTGGGCTGTGCTCCCTCCCAGGCTCTCCTCTTGCAGCAGCAAGAGGATGGCTGTTATCTCTAGTCTTACATTTGACCAGGTTAGCAATCCAAGCAAAAAGAGAACAGCTTTCTTCTCGCAGTTTTATCAAGTCCCAACGCTGATACTTTATGGCTCATACTGGCTTGGCTTTGGTCACAAAGGGTAGGGAAAGGATGTTACCCACAAAGTAAAATCATAGAGCTATTACCAAACGGGGTCATAAATGCAGGGTAGACAAAACAATAGAACTCCACTGCACTTATCCCTGTCTCTACACCTAAAACTGTATCTGGCCAGACTCTGTGATTAAGTCCTAATGTTTGAAATATTAACACATAATAGAGATCTGGAATGATTTCATTTTGGACTCTTTTATTCCCCCACTGGTCTCTGATCATTATTCTTTTCTTTCCCAATACAGAGAAAGATTTATGGTGTTCAATTATAAGGACAAATTTGAGTCTGGTATTCTACAGCTGAGTCAATGGTTTAAAGAAGGAAAGCTAAAGGTAGAATTTGCTTCTATTCTTTATCAATAGCATTCTTCCTGCTATTTGACATGCTTTTGAATTTATTATAGCAATGTACTAGTTTCATAATAAAAATTCCTACAAAAGGGAAGTGTACTGGATATTATAAATTAACTTTGCCTCCCAGGCGATATAACCTCCTGGTTGAGAAGCCCTTTCTTATTATTCCCTTTACCTGAAATTTTATTAACCTTATACTTTTCTTAGATTATGTTGTAAGATAAATAGATTTTCCGTCCTAAATTTTAATACTCATTAATTTAACAAATATTAATATGGAATTCTACAATGTGTTAGAAGCTGTGCTTTCTCAAAAATCTTATAAGCACCGCCTAGTACCCCCACCTCTCCACTACCATATGTCTCTCCTGCCCTCCCAGGACATTCTGATATATCTCTTCTTTTTGCTTTAAAATCAGGAGTTATTAATCTTGGGTCCAGAGACCCTGACCTAGCATGTTCTTAAAACCTGCAAATGATAGGCAAAGTTTATGTGTGTGTGCTTATGTACTTTTGGAAAAGAGGGTATACAGCTTGTGCTGTTACCAGTGGAAGATTAGACAATGGGAAAATAGGATTTTATTTTAAAAAGTTAATTGATAGGAAACCTTTTTGGGTTACCTACATGAAATTAAGAATATCTATTTTTAGACAGAAAGTGCTTAACAGTGTTGCTGTCTTTTGCAAACATGAAAACTATTAAGTAGAAACATTGAAGTCTAAAGAATACTAAGTATAGCTATTTTGATTTACAGATTAAAGAAACTATGACAAATGGATTAGAAAACATGGGAGGTAAGATGAATGTAGATTTATTATATACTAGAGGCCTGGTGCACAAAAATTTGTGCATTCGGGGGTGGGGGGGTCCCTCAGCCCGGCATGTGCCCATTTGCAGTCCAGGACCCTTTGGGGGATGTCCACCTGTCAACTTAGGCCCACTCCCGGGGGGATCAGGCCTAAGTTTGCAGTCAGACATCCTTCTGGCAGCCAGGGAGCCCTCGGGGGATGTCTGACTAAAGGCTTAGGCCCCCAAGGGAACTGTGATGAGGAAGCTGGGGTTCGAGCCCTGCACTGTGGATCGAGCCCACAACCCGGGCATATCCCCTGACCAGAATCAAAATATGACCTCCTGGTTCATAGGTCTATGCTCAACTCGCTGCTGGTTCTTTTGTTTGTTTTAAATAGAAAGGATTAGCTTGGCTGGTGTGGTTCAGTGGTTGGGTGTCAACCTATGAATGGGGAGGTCACAGGTTGTGGGCTCAAATCCCAGTAGGGAAATCAATAAAAACATATTTTTTAAAAATAAAAGGGATTAATCAAACAACTTTTTTTCTTTCTCAGAAAAAAATTTAATGTATTTGGTTACTAAGTTTACCAAACAGAAATATAATTTCACTTATTTTTCTGGCATAATGTGTATTTCACTTAGTAAAACTTTGTGATTAGATTTCTGACATTTTAACTGTTATTTAGAAACTAGAGGCCTGGTGCATGAAATTTGTGTACTCGGGGGGAGGGGTTCCTCAGCCCGGCCTGCACCCTCTTGCAGTCCAGGAGCCCTCAGGGGATGTCTGACTGATGGCTTAGGCCTGCTCCCTGCCGTCAGTTGGACATTCCTTAGCGTAGCTACAGAGGCGGGAGAGGCTCCTACCACCACCGCTGTGCTCACCAGCCGTGAGCCCGGCTTCTGGCTGAGCAGCGCTCCCCCTGTAGGAGTGCACTGACCACCAGGGGGCAGCTCCTGCGTTGAGCGTCTGCCCCCTGATGGTCAGTTCGCGGCATAGCGACTGGTCATTCCGCCGTTTGGTTGATTTGCATATTAGCCTTTTATTATATAGGATTTGTTTTGCTGATATTTTACCTTCAAACTTACTTGCCTCTAGTTTTCAGACTGTAAGCCTTGAGTGTCGATATAGACACCAATTAAACATTTCTAGTTTGGGTAAAAAAATTTTTTTAAATCTATTTTTATTTCTTTCAGAGAGGAAGAGAGAGGGAGGGAGAGATAGAAACATCAATGATGAGAGAGTATCAATTGACTGGCTGCCTCCTGCACGCCCCACATTGGGGATTGAGCCCGAAACCCAGGCATGTGCCCTGACCGGGAACTGAACCGTGACCTCCTGGTTCATAGGTCTACACTCAACCACTGAGCCACACCAGCCTGGCGGGTAAATCCAATTTTTAAGATGCTGATTGGGTTAGTTTACCCTGTAACTTTGCCAGTGTATATGTGAAGTTTCTTTTGATGACAATTTTCTTCTATACTTAATATTAAAATCATTGAAGTAATTTTTCAAATTACTTGTGTTTGACCTACCAAAAGATATGTATGATAGTGACATTTATATTTTGAGATAACTTAGTTTTTTTTTTTCTTTCTAGCTGCATTCCAGTCCATGATGACAGGAGGTAATATTGGAAAGCAAATAGTTTGCATTTCAGAAGAAACCTCTTTGCAGTCTCTATAAACATCCTCATCAAGGAAACACAAATTTCTTTCCATTTTGCACAAAGACTTTCAAGACACATTAAAAAACACCTGAGAGTACAGATAGCTTTTGGTTTAAATGTACTAATAGGTGATTATTTTCTTAGTTGCAAAATAATTCTTTCCTATATCTTCAATATTATATATGTACTCTATATCCAACGTATTATATACAACAATAGGTTGAAGTCAAAATGATCTATTTTTCTTTCTTTTCCTAAAACTATTACATATGATATTTTTGTCAGATATACTGAAATCACTGGAGATTTGATACAACTATGAATGGATCATACAAAACAGCTTTTCAGAATTAATAACTTTTATTGAAAATGGAATGGTTGAGAAGGCATTTAGTAAATGTTTATAGAACTGGGAAAGTTTTACATAATTCTTGAACTGAAACTTGGCATAAGAAGAAAATTGGGATGGCCTTTCTATACATGGAAAAAGGACTTAATGGCAGGGTGTTTGTCTGGAGTTTGGGGGAATTCAGAGCTCTGTGTTGGGACTAGTATGAGAAGATAAGTAGAGGTTGATTAGGTTGTTGGAGAGACTACATTTGCTACAGAAGATGATCTATTTGTGTTATGCCAAATAATTTACTGTATAGTAACTCAAATATTTATTGATAAAAGCATATGTTTATTTTAGGTTAGCAGGCACATACTGTCAAATAGTTGTCAAGATTTCCAGGGCAAATAGATAAAAACATTACTTGGAGTGTTAGGTAATTAAAAAGATTGAGACAGCCTGGCTGGTGTGGTTCAGTGGTTGAGCATCGACCCCGGAACCAAGAGGTCGGGGGTTTGATTTCTGATTAGGGCACATGCCTGGTTTGCAGGCACCATTCCCAATAGGGGGTGTGTAGGAGGCAGCCAATTGATGATTCTCTCTCATCATTGACGTTTCTGTCTCTTCCTCCTTCCTCTCTCTCTAAAAATCAATAAAAATATTTTTTAAAAGGATTTGAGACAACAAAGACAGCTTCAGAAAATATTAGGACTGAATGGGCAAATTAAAAAATGATTATAAACATGAATGTTCAAGACCCACAAATGTAACTCTAAATTAGAGTTTGCCGGGGTGCGGGGAGGTGGAGGAGACTAGGGGGGGATAAATGGTGATGGATGAAGACTTGACTTGGAGTGGTGAATGCACAATACACTGTACAGGTGATGTGTTGTGGAACTATGCATCTGAAACCTGTCAATTTTGTTAACCAGTGTCACCCCAATAAATTCAATAAAAAGGAAAAAATTAAAGCAGTGATTCTAAAAAAAAAAAAGGGTTTGATAAAAAAGAGGGTTTGTTTTATTGTAATCAACCCTATAAAACAGTAAAATTGAGGGAAGTTTTCTCTGAGTGTCCTGCTGGTTTATGGTCTCCTGTTTATACACTGCAATATACTTTTTAAAAACACCTTATCTTATTGGTAAAAGTATTATACATATCCCCCTCTCCCCGGCCCCATTGACACCCTCCACATTACACCCCGCTCCTGCAATAAACTTTTGTTGGCAACATTTATAGAAAGTAGATTCAAACTGTGTTAGTAATCAATCATTCCAGTTGTCTTTAGTGGTCTTCTTTCTTGTTTTATATAATTTTCCAGGGCCATTTAATCTCTGTATGTTGATAACTCCCAAATCTACATCTCTATTTTGACCTCTTTCTTACCAGAGTTTGGGACCTTCACCTCCAAGTAAATATCCCCTTGGGATAAACGCACTTTATGTAAAGAGGAATTATCTTCCCCTGAACTGTGTTTCTCCTTTGTTTTGCAAATCACCATAGTTTATTTGTATATTCAAACTACTACTCTCTCACCCATTTATATGCCTGTCTTCAAGGCTTACCTTTAATCTTAAGCGCCTTTCTTAGAGAACTCCTTTAATTCCCACTGTCACTGTCTTCGTTGAGTTCTTCATGGTTTGGCAAGCAGCACTATCAAAAAATTAGTAATTTCAAGAAGTCGGTCAAACTCATAAAGCTCTAACAAGTGGTGGCATCCAGCCTGGGACGCAAGTGGTCTAGCCCCCAGGCAGGACACCTGAGAGCTCTTTACATCCAAATATGTATGTGGAACCCAGACGCTAGGGAATTCATATTCCAAAAAAAGTTCTAACTACACTTGAGTCTCAATTCTTACCCTGCTCGGTATACAATGCAGAAGTATGTTCTGCAAGTTCCCTTCCCGGGGAGGTGAAGCTTCGCGATCCTCTTCGCTGAGAACTCCGATGAAAGTCAGCAGTGATCGTTCTCGCCTCCATTGTAGCTGGTACAGATCTCAGCCGACAGGTACCACGACCCCGTCCGCCGTTGCAGGGAAGCAGTGACGTCACGGCTGGAACGAACCGACCCGTTTTGCGGGCTTTGCAGACCTCGGAGCCCCGAAGGCCGATAGAGAATGAGTGGGACGTGGGAGACCACGGCGGCTTGGGTCCGGGCGCG